AAGCAGAATGAATGTTGTGGACTGAAATCTCTTTTTGTTAACTCATGAGCATTAGGCTGATGTAATAGAAAGTTTTTCTAAATCAGCTGTAATTTCTAGATGATTTGTGAAAAATGCTTGTTTCTAAAAATGATGATTTGATATACTCCACAGTAAGTTTACTCTGGTGTTCAGCTATCCTTACAGATGTAAAGCTCTTCCTTACCACAACTTAATCTGCCTTCCTGTGGATTAAATTTGTTATCTGTTTACCTATTTACAACAGACAAGCTACCTCTGTAAAGCTGAGATTTGTTACGCTTTTCTACACTGATGTAAATCTGTATATTGTAAGGCTTTTGCTAGTACATAGGCAGTTAAAAACAAAACAAAACAGAAAAAAACCTGTTGGAGTCTGAACATGGGAGCATTTCCCCCCAACTAAGGGACATCTTCCCATAGGATGATCCTGAAAGAGGCTGTTCCCTGTCATGACACTATTAGGTTTGTAAACTTTTGTCAAAAATAAAACCATCTGTGGGATTCCCCCTTCCAGCATTTTGCCTCTGCTTGTTAACATATTTATATATTTTAACCGGAATAGATTGACATTTGATGCTTATGCCTTCCTGGCCTAAACCAAAGAAAGCAGAAAAGTGGAGAGACTAACTTTAGTCCTGAAACTAGACTATCCATAATTACCAAAATAGGTGTTGCAAGCAAAGCTTTTTTATTTCAACAAAACAGCATTTTTTTCACTAGAGCATATATAGAAAAAAATATTCCAAGTAGCTATTACATTGACAATGATTCACTTTTTTTTGTTTTTTTTGTTGTTTTTTTTTTTCAGAATTCTGCACAGAATGGAGCAAAATACCTTTCACTTTTCAGTATAATTTGTAATCTTTCATTACTCCTACTCCTGACCAGTATAATTTGTAATCTTTCATTACTCCTGATTGGAGAGTGAATTAATAACAAACAGAGAAGCACATTGATCCACAAGATACTCTATTGCCTGTGACTTAATTGTAATTTCAAGGTTTAACACAGACTTACCTGAGAAAGAGTGCGAGTTAAAGTGTGCATCTCACTAATTCTCTTACTGGACTACTATAAGCAGCTTTTTACATAATGGTTTGTGTAGTCAATTAATAGAGTATTAGCTATAATAGATAACATTCTTAGTAAGACCATATTAATTAGAGCTTAAACACAGGTAATCTGAGACCTATATTGAATTCATATTATTATGTAAGCATAATGCATATTTAGGTAAGTGATTTCCTTCACGGTGTTTTTACAGAAAAGGAAATCTGAGACATAAATATGCAAATTTTAACAGCTATTTGGAAAACATGTAATGTTTCTTAGAACTTGGGTGTGCCAGGCTATATTAAAAATAATAGTAAGGTTATGAGCGGCAGAGGACACAAAAGATTGAATACTTTTTAATTTATTGGAACAGAAGGAGTAGGATTGCAAGTAGAAAAAATCTCTGCAAGAATTTAATGTATTTATGTTACTGCTCCTCATTTTGCCTTGAGTTAGATCCCAGTTCTGGGGTTCTCCACTGTAACTTCTCTTCAGCAACAATAAAGACTGATGTGCTTCCACGCCCACATTTTTTATTGATCCACATGAATCCAACAGTTTTGAGACAAACATTTTCTGAAATTAATTAGGAATCCTGTCTAAATACAGATTTTAAATTATTTTTTAGTTATATGGGTTTGTGGCTTCCTTATCACTTTGTTCAGCATTTCTGCAACATAACCAAAGCTTGATACGTCTCTGGTATATCAGCTACCTGAAGGAACACCTTAGGCAAAAACATATTAAATTTTTAAATCACAGATAAGCATGAAACTAAGCAACTGAAAAATTTACAAGCATAGCAAACTTCAGTACAATAATATCAGACAATCAGTGTATTGCAATGAAATTAAAATGCCACCATCTTGACTTCTGCTATCAAGAGTAGCATCACTGCTGTTAATAGAAAAAAATCCACTAATAATAAGCTGATAGGGCCACAATGTTCTGTTATCTAGTTACACTACTAAGAATTATTGCCCATCTGTATGCCAGAAGACAAGTGCTTCTCATTGTGACTGAAATTAAGTGGAAGAATGAGGGCTAACATGCTCATAAATGCTTATGCCAAGAGTAATGTAAGTGACTGGGAGCTCACTAGGCAGGTTACCTCTGTACCTTCAGATGCAGAACGGACAACCTTTTGAATTCATACTGCCTTCTCCCATTTTTATTGAAAAGCTATTTTTATATTTGTAATATGTATTTTTTTTCTTTTTGTGAGGGTAGCCCTTCAAACATTGTGGGATATTTAAGCATTAGCCATTCTCTTCCATATCTAAAGATATTAGTCAGTGTTGTTTTAAAATCTCTTCCTAATTTATGCATCATTATTTTTTGAACACATACTTTAATTTCACCAACAGAGGTCAGTAAACCACTGAAAGAGAACCATGAGTGTTTGGCAAGAACACACCCTTGTCAATCTTTCTAATGTCCTTCTGATAGTTTTGTTCAAAGGGTTCTTGTTTGGTTGCTTCAGTAAATAGCAACCAAAGGTAGGTAGCTAAACAACAACAAAAAAAGTGTATGCTTATGCACACAGGAGAATGAGTTTTATTAAGCAGATGAATTACATAAAATAGGATATTGTTAAAAACCTTTCGGCATAAGACTATATTTGAAATACCTGTTACAAAGCCAGTAGTATATATACATGCATGGGCATGATTACAGCTAAATTGATTCGTCAAGGTTAAAGCAGGCTGTGAATTAAACGATAGTACTTTGAATGATCTGCAGAATTCTACTTTCCAAGCTTTGTGGTGTTGAAAACCAGCCTAATGTGGAAAGAGTATGAAGAGGTGGATCCCAGAGAAGTAAGCGTTAATGATATTAAAATTACAGATAGAAGCACAGGAGAAACCAAGAGCTGTCACCGACTTGCTCATTTTGACAGTAACACTCAGCTAATGGAACTATATTAACACATCATTTTCCAACTTTCAACTATAATGAAAAGCTATTTTTACAAATCATTACTTTCAGTATATGGTGTTTCAGCCACGTGGCTTCTATTAGCGTACACGGGAGTTTCACAACCAAAGCTGCCTGTGCAGTACGGAAAGTGTACCTTTTATGTTGAGCTAATCCCAGAGGGGAGTCAGCACTCATGCCTGCGTCCTTTTGACCTTTATTCTTTTAATGCATTTTGCCTCAGTAGCAAAAGGTGAAAACCTAGTTTTTATGTTGCAAACAGACCGCTTCAACAGCATTTCTCTGTGAAGCTAAGGAAAGTAACATATGCTCCTGTGGAAATGTTGAAAGTCCCCAGTTCAGCAGCCAACAATAGCTTTACAAACGTATTTTTAGAATCACTTTTCTGGTAGCCCTTTGAAGCTCACCCGTACGGCCTCGCTACCACCCCTCTCAACAGCTGCAAGCATGTGAAGTCACTGGAGTGGAAGATGTTAATTATCATCAGCTACTGGAATTTCTCCAGGGAGTACTTGTGGTTAGAAACATGCTTCCCTAAAGATCTGCACTAGGCGCTGGGATCATCTCTCCTGTAGTTTATCTGAGTCCCTGCCTTTAAGCAAAAGAGATAATCGAGTAAAACTCCCAAACTTCACTATTAAGTGTTCTTCTCTTAGGACATGATTGTGTGATTTTCCTAAGCAATCTTAACCATAAAATCTTTTATTTGTGTGAATATAATTTCAACAACAGGCATTTTTATGTATATGTGAGTTTCCCAGGGACTAAGTTTAACATACATACAGATTTTTATTAAAAACTAGAGAAATAACTCTAAAATGAAAAAGGGAACAAAAACACACAAGTTGATGGACATAACAGTGTTTGTTGTGGTTTTTTTTTCCCCCCAGCAAGAGTAATTTGAACTTCCTTTTTATGGCCAAGAAAAAGCCACGCACCTGCCCCCCATGTCATTAGAAAACTGCACACACAAAAATGGTCTTTCCCCTTCTGCTTTACCTCCTGCTATTCAGTGGCATTTTGAGTCTAAACGAGTTAGCATCAGGAGCTTGACATGATGTCAGCAAGTGAGATATTCCCTACAGGGAACCAAAATAATAGTAGATGAGCTGGCATACAGATCCTCAGAAAGGGAAATAACATAAACCCAACAGATTCTAAGCCTAGCCCTTTACCGTGACTACTACAAAGCACCTTTAATGACTGAACACATCCCTAAATGTACCTTGTAAATCCCCCTGTGGTAGTTAAACCTAGTAGTCACTACCACCCCCACAAAAAGACCAAGTTAGGTCAGACTCGAGGTGCAGGGAAACCAGGATGAACTCTGTAATCTGTAGGATTTTACTCCCAATGCAAGGAGACAAATGCTAGCGACACTTGTCCCTTTGCTATGGATGAGAATGACACCTGTTTCTCAGTCATTTACTAAGTGACACACCAGTCTTTTTTGACAACCTAAAGGAGCTGAAGGAAAAGAGGCGCCCTGCTCTCCAAGAATGCTGTTCCTTTCCTGCAAGGGCACAGGAAATCCCCTTCCACCCACAGGAGGAACGGGTAAGCAGGAGGAAGGAAACCTAATGCAATGGAAAGTAAACATGTCAACTATGAAAACAGTAACCACGAGTGACTACAAAAATACTTCCTTGTTACACTTCAGTACAATGAGTAGAGTGGTATTTCAGTTATTCAGTTTTTAGAGTTGAAAACTCCACAATTACTGGCCGATTGCCTTCTATGTAGGCCATTAGTGCTGTTCTGTTGTCACCTTTTCCAGCCCAACACCAAATACAGTGATGGAGAAGTGAACATGGTCAAGATGAGGGATTGCTTAACCCTTCCAAAATGGTCACTGCTTCATGGCATAGACCTAACTTCCAGGCAGGTGCTGTAGGCCTTTACAAGCTAGAAAAGGTAACAGAATGTGTCCTCCAGCTGGCGTCAAGAGTAACAGAGAAGATAAATGTGAGCACACAAACGCAGAAGTATTATATACAAAAAAAGTTTAATTGAAATACCTGTATAAAAAATATGATCTCCATACATATCACACTGTTAAACAGAAGAAAAAAAAACAAATCCAAGCTGCATAAATGCAACCAGATCACAGAAACACAGCTATTAAAATAAATTAAGGTTTATGACTCTGCCACTCTACCTTCCAGAGCCAATGCACAGAGACTGTACAATGTCAATAACTTAAAACCTTTCCAAACAGCATTACTTTACATTTCTGGTACAATAATACCAGACAAAAGGCATACTGACTAACTTTAAAAAGTCATTCTATTTCCCTTAAATTAGACTTTGTACAACAATTTTCCATCTTTCAACAAAAACTGATAAGGTCAGAAATTTTTTTTTTCCTTTTTTTTTTTTTAAACAAAAGACAGGAATGCAGAAAAAAGTGCCATGGGCAAACCACTAGAATTCCCATGGGGAGAAGGAGGAGAAAGCACAGTGTTGAATAACTCTAACCAAATAAATTAACCAAATAAATAGCCACAGCTGAAACCTGTGGGAGGTTTTCTAAACTCCAAACAATAAATAACTGTATAGTACATGGGAAAAACCAAGTTTACATAAACACATTTTACAGGTATGGGAAAAAAAAGTAAAGTCCTTGAATATTGCATTGATTGTGCATTCAACATGCCCATACATACTTTAAGACTCGCAGGGTGACAAAAGGCCCAGGGGGAGTTGAGAAAGGGGCTTCTCATGCCCAGTGGTAGAGATGATAAAAGGAAACATGAATAAATGTTTCTGATAAAAAAGCTGATATACCTGTTCATATTTCTGTGCAGGCTATAGGAAACATTTTGAGCAGCAGAGGCAGGTTGTATTTGGAAAGGGCCAGGGGGCAGGAGTGAAATGTCTGTGTTCAAGTATTCCATCACCAGTGGATGGGACTACTTCATTCAATCACCGAACATGTTCTCCAATGCATCATAGGAGCTGCTTCCTCCAGCACTGAGTCTAAAGGGAGCAAATTCCTATAATGAACTGGATCTTCTTTGGACATACACAGCTCAAAAAAGAAAGTCCCACTGAAGCAGCTTTCAAAAAGGCACTCAAAAGCAAATAAAATCTAGTCCAGGCTCTATGAGAGCAAAAAAGTTTACCATGTATTCAAGAGGTCACTGCTTTCTTAATAAGGTCAGTCTTTGACTAAGTACTGGCCTGCAACTCCCAAACATCAGCGTTTCCAAAGGAAATCTCTCATTCCAAAGCAGAAACCAGCATAGGGGGAAAATAAAATCAAGTCCCTCAAAGATTCAACTACAGAATAATGAATGCATTTTTCTAGCCCCTCCTACATATTGGCAGCAGCACTGTGGTCTTTCTGCTTGTAGCTCCCCTCCCAGTGCGAGGTCCTTAGTAATTCACAGACTCTCATTACTTGAACTTGTGCTAGATACATCAGCATCAAGGGTCCGTAGCCTTATGTCACAGTTCTCAGACTTCACTACTTCAGATTTGTGCATCCATTGATGGTCAAAAATTTGCTCAAGTGTTGGTCTGTCTGAAGGCCTCAGTGAAAGGCACCATTTGATCAGCTGTTGACATTCTGTAACAAACAAAAAAAGCGATTTTAGACTAGGAAGGTAAAAAGGCAACCTCGAGTAAGAAAAACCCTACCCGCACAAACTCAAATGTACAGGACTATTAAAAAAAAAAGCCTTCACTTGACCCTATACAACTCACCAGGTGAAATTCTTCTCCTGAAGTATAATCGTCCCCTCAAGATTTCTTCATCTTGCTCAAAAGGGATGTCGCCGCAAACCATATCGTACAGCAGCACTCCCAGAGACCATACTGTTGCTGACCTCCCATGGTATCTGTGGTATCTGATCCACTCTGGAGGGCTGTATACTCTTGTTCCTAAAAGCAGGAAAAAAAAAAAAAAAAGAAAAAAAGAGTCAAGGTTTAGAGCCTTTTCTCATTGTTCAGCTTCTTCTAGTAGACCTAAATTAAATTCATAAGCTTGCTATTTAGGAGTAAAAAAAAAATTATTGTGGGCCAAAGCCATTAGTGGTGTAATTTCAGGTCATCTGCGGGCTTACACCATCAACAGATTTGGCCCATCCGGTTGTGCTATTTTGTTGCAAGGAATAGCACAGCCCCATCAGCTGACTGTTTACCGAGGCGAGCTCCCTTTCACTGACCACGTGGCGTCTGCAGCATCACACCAAAAATAGACACAAAAGGACAAAGGGGGCTGGCGGGGAGGAGGCGGGAAGGCGGCGGGAAGGTGAAACCCAGGTCTCCCCGCCTCACACCGGGCTAATCTGCTTTATCCAATTCCGCAAGGCTGTAAACAAAATACGGCCGCTTCTGATTTCTATGTTTTTAAGTCCTCCCCTCTCCTCCCATACCC